TGATCACAAATCTTGACTATCCTTGTAGTTTATTGGGAGCTTTGTTGAGCAAGGCTCTTGTTAATGGCATACTGCATAAAAACTGAAACAGTGATTATAATATTTCAAGATTTTTAAATTGGGGATCAAGAGGCAGAGTCACAAGACTTAGACTTTAGTAACAGCTATATTAAGCATGTGACTTTGGAGAAGTCTCTGAATTTTTCTGATAAGAATCTAGGTTTTCTTAACCCTGAGTAATAAAATATGAAAAATTGCAACATAAATGACAATATTCAATACAAAGAACATTTACAAATATAAGAGAAAAATAATACTTGATTGGGACAGTAAGCACAGAACACAAAAGGCAACTCACAAGGTAAAAAAAGACAAATTATCCACATGATGTACATAAATTAATTCAAAATGATCAAAGGCCTAAATGTAGACCTAAACCTGTAAAACTCTTAGATAAAACATTGGTGTAAATTGTAAAAGTTGGTGAGATTAGGCAATGTTTTTTTTTAGATATGACACAAAACCTATAAGCAGCAAAAGAGAAAATAGGTAAATGAGACTTCATAAAAAGTTAAACACTCTGTGCTCCAAGGACACCATCAAGAAAATGAAAAGACAGTTTGCAGAATGGGAGAAAGAAATTGCAAATCATATATCTGGTAAGGAACTTATACCTAGAATACATAAAAAGCTCTTATAAATCAATAATAAAAAGACACTCAATTTAAAAATAGGCAAAGTACCTGAATAGACATTTCTCCAAAGAAAATATACAAATGGCCAAAAAGCACATGAAAAGATACCCAACATCATTAGTAGTCAGGGAAATGGAAATCAAACCACATAGATACTACTTCACACTCACTAAGTTATTTTTAAAAAGACAGAAAATACCAAGTGTTAGCAAGGAGGTGGAATAATTAGAACCTTCATACACTAACAGTGGGACTTTTAAATGGTGCAATTGATTTGAAAAACAGTCTGGCAGTTCCTTAAATGGTTGAACCCGCGGTCTCCATACAACACAGCAATTCTTATCCTAGGTTTATGCCTAAGAGAAATGAAAACATGCCCACAAAAAAACTCATGTATACATAGTAGCATTGTTTGTAATATCCAAAAAGTGGAAAAGACCTAAATGTCCATTGACTCACCAATGGATAAATAAATTGTGGTATAAATATACAATGGAGTATTATTCATCAATAAAATGGATGAATACTGATACATGCTACAACATGGATGAACCTTGAAAACATCCTGATAAGTAAAAAAAAAAAACGGTCACAAAAGGCTAAACTGTCTGATTCCATTTGTGTGAAATGTCCACAATAGGCACATGTATGGAGACAGAGAATAGATTAGTGATTGCCTAGGACTGTACTTAGGGTTGTGAAGTTGGAGAACGACTAGTAATGGGTATGAGTTTTTTTGTGGAGTGATGAAAATGTTTTAAAATTAATGATGGTGATGATTGTACAGCTGTAAGAATATACTAAAAATCACTGAAGTATACACTTTAAATTGTATTCTGTATAAGTTCTCTTGGTAATACTGTTATTGAAAATACAAATTAACAAGAAACTCATGAAAAAGCTTCTAATTCATTGGTCATTAAATAAATAAATATTAAAATTAGCATGAGACACCATACCTCTCATCAAATTATAAATGAAAACTGTATATATTAAATGAAATCTGTATGTGTGTATACTTTGTAAACTGCAAAGTATTCATAAGCAATTTACTTATAGCATATATATTTTAGTTCTGCTTCTCAAGCTTAGAATATCTTAGACATTTTTATTGTGAGCCCAAAGCATGGATAATTCAAATTACAGATTTCCTAAATTATTGTTTTTTTTGCCCAAAGAAATAAAAAATATTTGCAGTTTTACAGAAATGTACAAATTAAAGAAAAAAGAAACTAGGTTCAACGAAAAGTGGCCAACTTTCTTCTTCCCACCCTCTACTGGAGGACATTAGAAGCATCTGTGCTTTATACCCTTAGATGCCAGATTAAATAACAGCAGCCACTTCCATAGACAGAAGGAGCCTGGTGTGTTCCAAATGTGTTGTGTGGCATTTATGAGTGCTGTAGTGATGTCCTGGAGAAAACACAGCTGTCTCATGCCACCAGCCTAGTCTCTATAAATTAGTGTCAGTCTAAATATTCTTTCCTTGCATTGGGAAATGGACACCTCGTTTCCATATCAAATTCAAGAGCATCCACATACTGTAGAAAGTGAAAACTATGTTGCAAAATGATTTGGATGTGACATAGACAAATTAAGCCCTAAACCAACTCCACACAGAATGATTTCAGAGAAATTTGAGGCACCATAAGTGAGTCTCATCTTAAGGCAAACATTTATCTTGCGAAGTCAGTGGGAGTGATTCCACAGTTGCATTCATTCTTTTTTTTTTTTTTTTTGAGACGGGGTTTCGCTCTTGTTACCCAGGCTGGAGTGCAATGGCTCGATCTCAGCTCACCGCAATCTCCGCCTCCTGGGTTCAGGCAATTCTCCTGCCTCAGCTTCCTGAGTAGCTGGAATTACAGGCACGCGCCACCGTGCCCAACTAATTTTTTTATATATTTAGTAGAGATGAGGTTTCACCATGTTGACCAGGATGGTCTCAATCTCTTGACCTCGTGATCCACCCGCCTCGGCCTCCCAAAGTGCTGGGATTACAGGCGTGAGCCACTGCGCCTGGCCGCATTCATTCTTAAAAGGTTCAAAAGTAGGGACTTAGCTTGGACTCTGATAAGCTTAAATATAAGCCAGAGAAGGAAAATACATGGCATGCATTGTTTGCTTGACTCCTTCACTTACCTGAATGTATTACTTACCCTTCTAACACCTGCCTTCAGGTGTTATCTAGCACATTCCAAGCAGTGGTGGCCATGGGGAGAGACTGCTTCTGCTTGAGGAAAGAAGGAAGAGTAAAAAGGACTTTGTCTTGCACCTTGGGTACCAGCTTGAGCCACAGCAGGGTAGAACAGCAAATATCTCCTGGTGTTCCTGCCTCTTGACCTTGGTTTCTGGATGGTACTTTGCAACCTACCCAAAGCCACAGGAGAGCCCACTACTCTGAAGGGATAGACTCAGTACTGGCAGCATTCAGCTCAGATTGAATGAAGAGCGCTTGGTCCTTGAGTGAACCTAGGTGGTAGTCAGGCAGTACTTGGCATGGGCCACTGGTGGTGATGGCCATGGGGAGAGTCTCCTCTGCTTGAGGAAAGGGAAAGGAAGAGAGGAAAAGGATTTTTCTTGCAGCTTGGGAGCCATCTTATCTGCAGTAGAATAGAGCACTAGGTAGATTCCTAAGGATCCCAACTCCAGGCCCTGGCTCCCAGATGACATCTCTGGACTTTCCCAGGGCTGGGGGAACTCACTGTCCTGGAAGGAAGGACACAGCCTGGCTGGATTTGCTACCTGCTGCTTGTAGAGCCATCTTTCCTCGAGTGAACAAAGGTGGTAGCCAAGTGGTGGTTATTGCAAGCCTTGGACAAGAGATAGTGCTGTGCTGACTTTGGGTCTAACCCAGCACAATCCCAGTGGTGATGACCACAGGGTGCTTGTGTGATACCTCTCCCAGCTCCAGGCATCTCATCACAGAGAGAGAGAGACTCTGTAAAGTCAGGGAAGACAATAAGAGTATCTCCTTGATAATCCAAGGACTTCTCACAGATCTTACCCAAGTTCAGCAAGGCAGTACTTCCACAAGTCTGCAAGAGCCATAGCATTCCTGGGCTTGGGGTGCCTCCTAATGCAGATATGGCTGCAGGGACCAAAGACTTAGATTATAATGCCTAAATTCCTCTGAATGCCTGGAAAGCCTTCTTAAGAAGGATGGATACAAAGAAGCCCAGACTGTGAATATAAATATTTAACTCTTCAATGTCAAGACAATGACATACATCCACAAGCATCAGGACAATCCATGAACTCAGGAGATGAACTAAATAAGTCACTAGTGACCAGCCTTGGAGAGATAGAGATGTGTGACCTTTTAGACGGAGAATTTAGAATAGCTGTTTTTAGGAAGCTCAAAAAATTCAAAATAACACAGATAACGAATTCAGAATTCTATCAGACAAGTTAAACAAAACCATTGAAATAAATTTTAAAAAGCAGAAAATCTGGCACTAAAAAAATGTCATTGACATACATGTGCATTAGAGTTTCAACAGCAGAATTCATCAAGCAGAAGAAACAATTAGCCTGAAGATGGGCTATTCAAAAATAAACAGTCAGAGGAGACAAAGGAAAAAAGAATGAAGAGAATAAAGCATGCTTACAAGATCTAGAAAATAGCATCAAAAGAACAAATCTAAGAGTTCCGGCCTTAAGGAGGAGACAGAGAGAGAGAGATAGGGGTAGAAAATTTATTCAAAGAGATAATAACAGAGAACTTTCCAAAGCTAGAGAAAGATAGCAATATTTAAGTAGAAAAGATTATAGAACACCAAGCATATTTGACCCAAATAAGACTTCTTCAAGACATTTAATAACCAGACTTTCAAAGGTCAAGGATATAGGATCATAAAAGCAGCAAGAGAAAAAAAACAAATAATGTGCAAAAGAGTTCCAATACATTTGGCATTAGATTTCTCAGTGCAAATCTCACAGGCTAGGAGAGAGTGGCAAGACATATTTAAAGAGCTGAGGAAAAAAAACTCTTTTATCCTAGAAAAGTATATCCAGCAAAAATATCCTTCAAACATAAAGGAGAAATACAGATGTTCTCAGAAAAACAAAAGCCAAGGAATGTCATTGACACCAGACTTGTCCTAGAAGAAAAGCTAAAGGGAATTCTTTAATTTGAAAAAAGTCATCTGAAGGTACAAAACTCACTGGTAATAGTAAGTACACAGAAAAACACAGAATGTTATAACCCTATAATTGTAGTGTGTAAACTATGCATATCTCGAGTACAGATACTAAAATATAAACCAATAAAAAATAATTACAATAAATTTTCAAGACATAGTACAATAAAATACAAATAGAAACAACAAAAATTAAAAAGCAGAGGGATGAGGTTAGAGTTTATGTTAGTTTTCGCCTTGCTTGTTTATGCAATCAGTGTTAAGTTTTCATCAGTTAAAAATAATGGGTTATGAGATAGCATTCACAAGCCTCATGGTAACCTCAAATCTAAAAACATACAATACACATGCAAATAAAAGCCAGAATTTAAGGCATATCACCTGAGAAAATCACCCTCACTAGATGGAAGACAGGAAGAAAGGAAAGAAGGAAGAAAAGACCACAAAACAAGCAGAAAGCAAAATGCAGGAGTACGTCCTTACTTATCACTAATAATGCTGAATTTAAATGAACTAAACTCTCCAATCAAAAGATGTACAATGGTTGAATGGATTAAAAAAGAAGACCCAATAATCTGTTGCCTACAAGAAACACACTTCACCTATAAAGACCTACATAGACTAAAAATGAAGGGACAGAATAAGAAATTTTATGTGAATGGAAACCAAAAAAAAGCAGAAGCTATACTTATACCAGCCAAAATAGATTTCAATACAAAAACTATAAGAAGAGACAAAGAAGATCATTGTATAATAATAAAGGGGTTAATTCATCAAGAGGATATAACAATTATATATGCACCCAACACTGGAGCACTCAAATATATATAGCAAATATTAATTGAGCTAAAGAGAGAGACAGACTCCATTACAATGATAGCTGGAGACTTGAACACCCCACTTTCAGCATTGGACAGAACATATAGACAGATAATCACAAAAGAAACATCAGACTTTATCTGCACTATAGACCTAATAGATATTTACAGACTATTTAATCCAATGGCTACAGAATATACATTCTTTTCCTCAGCATATAGATCATTCCCAAGAATAGACCATATGTTAAGCCACAAAACAAGTCTTAAAAATTAAAAAAAAAATGGAAATCATGTCAAAAATTTATTTTAAATTTTTCATTGAAATTAAGAAGGGATAAATTTCTGGAACTACATGAAAATGGAAACACAACATACCAAAACCTATGGAATACACTGAAAGCAGTATTAACGGGAAAGTTTATAGCAAAAAGCACTTACATCAAAAAAGTAGAAAAACTTCAAATGAGCAACATAATACATCTTAAAGAATTAGAAAACCAAGAGCAAATCAAACCCAAAGTTAGTAGAAGAAAAGAAATAATAAATATCAGAGCAGAAATAAATGAAATGGAAGTAAACAAAAATCAATGAAATGAAAAGTTGATTGTTTTGAAAAGATCAATTCACAAAGCTTTACACAGACTAAGAAAAAAGAGAGAAGACTAAATAAATTAGAGATAAAAAAGGAGACATTATAACTGACACCTCAGAAATGCAAAGGATCATTAGAGACTACCATGAGGAACTGTATGCCAATTAATTGGAAAGTCTAAAAGAAATAGATAAATTCCTAGACACATACAACCTACCAAGATTGAACCATAAAAAAACCTAAACCTGAGTAAACTAATAACAAGTAATAAGATCAAAGTTGTAATAAAAGTCTCCTAGCAAGAAAAGCCTGGGACCTGATGTATTCACTGCTGAATTTTACCAAACATTTAAAGTAGCACTAATACTAAACCTACTCATACTATTACAAAAAATAGAAGAGGAGGGAATACTTTCAAACATATTATACCAGGCTAGTATTACCCTGATATCAGAACCAGACAAAAAGATATCAATCAAGAAAACTACAAGCCAATATCCCTGATGAACATTGATGCAAATATCATAAACAAAATACTAGCAAACTGAATTCAACAACACATTTGAAAGATCATTAATTATGACCAAGTGGGATTTATCCCATGGATGCAAGGATGGTTCAATATATGCACATCAATCAGTGTCACACATTGCATCAACAGAATGAAGGACAAATACCATATGATCATTTCAGTTGATGCTGAAAAAGCATTTGATAAAATTCAACATCCCTTTGTGGTAAAAACCCTAAAAAAACTGGGTGTTGAAGGAACATACCTCAACACAATAAAAGCTATATATGACAGACCCAAAACTAGGATCATACTGAAATGGGCGAAAACTGAAAGCCTTTTCCCCAAGATCTGAAACATTATAAGGATGCCCACTTTCACCACTGTTATTCAACATAGTACTGGAAGTCTTTGCAGGAGCAATCAGATAAGAGAAAGAAATAAAGGGCATCCAAATTTGAACAGAAGAAGTCAAATTATCCCTGTTTTGCACATGATATGATCTTATATTTGGAAAAATGTAAATTCTTCACAGGAAACTCTTAGGATTGATAAACAAATTCAGTTAAGTTGCAGGATCCAATATCAACATAAAAAATGAGTAGCCTTATATATGCAAATTACAAACAATCTGAAAAAGAAATCAATAAAGTAATCCCATTTACAATACCTGAAAATAAGATACCTAGGAATAAACTTAATCGAAGTGATTAAGCAACAAAAACTACAATAAAAACTATAAAACTTTGCTGAACAAAATTGAGGAGGACACACAAAAAAAGGAAGGATACTCCATGTTCATGGATTGGAAGAATCAGTATTGTTAAAAGATCCCTACTACCAAAAGTAACCTACACATTCAATCAAATGTCTATCAAAATACCAATGACATTCATCACAGAAAGAAGAAAAATAATCCTAAAATTTATGTGGAACCACAAAAGACCCAGAATACCGAAAGCCATCCTGAGCAAAATGAACAAAACTGGAAGAATCACATTACCTACTCAGAGCTATAGTAACCAAAACAGCATGTTACTGCCATATAAAAAACAAAACCAAAAAACAAAACAAAAAACAGTGGAACAGAATAGAGAAGCCAGAAACAAATCCATTAATCTGTAGTGAATTCATTTTTTAAAAAGGTGCCAAGATCATACACTGGGTAAGAATGATCTCTTTAATAAACAGTTCTGGGACAACTTCATATTCATATGCAGAAACTAAACCCTTATCTCTGTCATATACAAAAATCAAATCAAAATAAAGACTTATATATAAGACCTCAAGCTAGGAAACCATTAAAAGAAAACATTGGGGGCCAGATGCAGTGGCTCACACCTGTAATCCCAGCACTTTGAGAGGTGGAGGTGGGTGGATCACTTGAAGTCAGGAGTTCCAGACCAGCCTGGCCAACATAATGATATCCCATCTCTACTAAAAATACAAAAATTATCTGGGCATGGTGGCGGGTGCCTGTAATTGAGAGGCTGAAGGTAGGAGATTCACCTGAGCCCTGGAAGTGGAGGTTGCAGTGAGCCGAGATCGCGCCACTGCACTCCATTCTGAGTGACAGAGCAAGACTCCATCTCAAAAATTAAAAAAAGAAAGAAAACACTGAAACATTGGGGAAACTCTCCAGGATATTGGTCTTAGCAAAGATTTCTAGAGTAACACCCAACAAGGACAGGCAACCAAAGCAAAAATGAACAAATGGGATTACATCAAGTTAAAAATGTTCTGCACAGTAAAAGAAACACAAAGCGAAGAGACAGCCCACAGAATGAGAGAAAATGTTTTCAAGTTATCCATCTGACAAGGTATTAATAACCAGAATCTATAAGGAGCTCAAATAAGTCTATAAGAAAAAATATAATGATCCATTAAAATGGGCAAAATATCTAGTAGACATTACTCAAAAGAAGACATACAAATTAACAGCAAGCAGACATATGAAAAGGTGCTCAGTATCATTGATCATCAGAGAAATGCAAATCAGAACTACAATAAGATGTCATCTCACCAAGTTAAAAAAGACGGGCTACCATATGATCCAGCAATCCCACTGTTGGGTATATATCCAAACGAAAGCAAAAGTATATTGAAGAGATATCTGCACTCCAATGTTTATTGCAGCACTATATAATTCACACTAATCAAGATTTGGAAGCAATCCATGTGTTAATCAGGAGACAAATGGATAAAGAAAATGTGGTACATATATACAATGGACTACTATTCAGTCATAAAAAAGAATGAGATTCTGTCATTTGTACAGCATAGATGGAACTGAAGGACATTGTTAAGTGATGTAACCGAGGCACAGAAAGACAAACTTCTTATGTTCTCACATAAGAAGAATTTTATGGGAATTTATTTATGGGAGATAAAAATTAAAGCAGTTGAACTCATGGAGATAGAGTGTAGAAGGATGTTTCCCAGAGGCAGGAAGTGTAGTGCTGGGAAGCTCGGGGGGTGGGCAGAGGGTAGGGGTCACAGAAGTGTGACAGTTAATGATAGATATAAAAATATATTTTGTGAAGAGACGAAGACTGAGCGGTTGTGTCCACGTTGCTGACCTCGAGCAGCAGTCGGCTTCTGCACGTAGAACCCGGGAGTAGGAGACTCAGAATCGAATCTCTTCTCCCTCCTCCCTCCTGTTTTCGGCTTTGTGACAAACCTTATCATCAAACACAATGGCCAGCAACATTACCAACAAGACAGATCCTCACTCCATGAACTCCCGTGTGTTCATTGGGAATCTCAGCACTCCTGTGGTCAAGAAATCTGATGTGGAGGCAATCCTTTCGAAGTATGGCAAAATTGTGGGCTGCTCTGTTCATAAGGGCTTTGCCTTCGTTCAATATGTTAATGAGAGAAATGCCCAGGCTGCTGTAGCAGGAGAGGATGGCAGAATGATTGCTGGCCAGGTTTTAGATATTAACCTGGCTGCAGAGCCAAAAGTGAACCAAGGAAAAGCAGGTGTGAAACAATCTGCAGCGGAGATGTACAGCTTCTCTTTTGACTTGGACTATGACTTTCAACGGGATTATTATGATAGGATGTACAGTTACCCAGCACGTGTACCTCCTCCTCCTCCTATTGCTCGGGCTGTAGTGCCCTCGAAACGTCAGCGTGTATCAGGAAGCACCTCACGAAGGGGCAAAAGTGGCTTCAATTCTAAGAGTGGACAGCGGGGATCTTCCAAGTCTGGAAAATTGAAAGGAGGATGACCTTCAGGCCATTAAGAAGGAACTGACCCAGATAAAACAAAAAGTGGATTCTCTCCTGGAAAACCTGGAAAAAACTGAAAAGGAACAGAGCAAACAAGCAGTAGAGATGAAGAACGATAAGTCAAAAGAGGAGCAGAGCAGCAGCTCTGTGAAGAAAGATGAGACTCATGTGAAGATGGAGTCTGAGGGGGGTGCAGATGACTCTGCTGAGGAGGGGGACCTACTGGATGATGATGATAATGAAGATCGGGGGGGATGACCAGCTGGAGTTGATCAAGGATGATGAAAAAGAGGCTGAGGAAGGAGAGGATGACAGAGACAGCGCCAATGGCGAGGATGCCTCTTAAGCACATAGTGGGGTTTAGAAATCTTATCCATTATTTCTTTACCTAGGCGCTTGTCTAAGATCAAATTTTTCACCAGATCCTCTCCCCTAGTATCTTCAGCACATGCTCACTGTTCTCCCCATCCTTGTCCTTCCCATGTTCATTAATTCATATTTCCTTGCGCCTAGTCCCATTTTCACTTCCTTTGACGCTCCTAGTAGTTTTGTTAAGTCTTACCCTGTAATTTTTGCTTTTAATTTTGATACCTCTTTATGACTTAACAATAAAAAGGATGTATGGTTTTTATCAACTATCTCCAAAATAATCTCTTGTTATGCAGGGAGTACAGTTCTTTCATTCATACATATGTTCAGTAGCTGCTTCCCTAACTGCAAAGGCAATCTCATTTAGTTGAGTAGCTCCTGAAAGCAGCTTTGAGTTAGAAGTATGTGTGTTACACCCCAATATTAGTGTGCTCTGTGGGGCAGTTCAACACAAATGTAACGATGTATTTTTGTGAATGAGAGTTGGCATGTCAAATGCATCCTCTAGAAAAATAGTGTTATAGTCTTAAGATTTGTTTTCTAAAGTTGATACTGTGGGTTATTTTTGTGAACAGCCTGATGTTTGGGACCTTTTTTCTTCAAAATAAACAAGTCCTTATTAAACCAGGAAAAAAAAAGATATAAAAATGTAGTTAGATATGAATGAATAAGATCTAGTATTCACTAGCACAACAGGGTGCCTACAATTAACAATATATTTCAAAACAACGAAAAGATTATAATTGCATTTTTTTTAACGCAAAGCAAGGATAAATGCTTGAGGTGATGGATACCTCCTTTACCATGATGTGATTATTATTCATTATATGCCTTTGTATTAAAATATCTAATATACCCCAGAAATATACACACCTACTATGTATGCATCCAACAAATTTTGTTTTTAAGTTTACAGGTTACAGTTGAAGAACCTGGGATGTGGAGATGTTAAGTAACTTTAATATTGAGGCTGGAAAGAATTTCGTCTTGGTTAAAGTTTGTTACTCGTGGCACTCTTCCTGTATGTGTCCACATCCTGTTTCCCCATGATATACGAATTGGACTAAGTTAAGAAGCTAGTGCTAAATAAACGCTCCTCACCAGATTCCTTCTTTTCAAATAATGAACAAAACTTCTTTTACAAAAAACAAAAGTTGAAGACAAAACCTGACAGTTCTTTTATCTCAACTCTTCTTGCTAAGAGCCTTTTAAAAGTGACAGCCCTATTTTTTCTGTGTCTCAAAAGCGTTTTAGAGTAATTCATAACTTAGAGCAACAATACAAGCCCCAGAATTCCCATTGCTGACTGTGTTTTGCCCATAAATCTTCAAATTAGTCAAGCTTTGTCAGTTCAGAGGAGTGCAAAATAAATAATACTAACACACGCGTCATTTCAAGTCAAAGCATAAACCTGAAAATATCTTCCCCCAATAGATGATTTGTATATATCCAAAGGTGGAGTCTAATAAGGAAAGTCAGTAATGAAAATTGCTAACACTGAAATAATGTAGACATCTCTTTTCAGTGGTGTAAAATAGAATAATTTATCAAAATGGAACTCTCAATAATGGTCAATTTCCTTTAATAACTTCACTCTAAATAGATTTAACTGGCTATTTCCTTCACACATTCTCAATGAGAGCATTGATCAGTATGAAAGAAATGTGACAAATAATTAGAATCATATCCCAAACTTCCGATCTGATTAATCATAAGGAAACAAAGAGTCTTGCTTAGGTCTCCCAGGTTTTTTTTGAGATAAGTTTCATTTATTTTTCTCAGAGAAACAAAAGAATATACTCCATATTATTTTATATGTAACTCCTTGCATAGCAGTTCTCAAATATTAGTACTCATCAATGACCACTTAAGGTTGTATCATCTATGAAAAATCCCCATCTAATATTTCTGATGCTTTAAGGAATATTAAATAATAGATCTGAAAAAAGCTTACAAGTGCCCTCTAATTACAAGACAGGATTAAGCTCCATGGAAAGACAGCAGTGGAATAAGCTTTTCAACTTAAAGGTTTCTTAAATACACTCTTGTTTTATCATGAAAAGATATTTAAAAATCATTATGATTCATGATAACCAATTATTTTGTTGTTTTTGGATGAGTTCTTTTTATAGCTTTTTTGATATAACTGACAGCACATTAAATTGTCCATATTTACAGTAAACAATAAGTTTTGACATATGTATGCACCTGCGAAGCTAGAACCACAATCTAGATGTGGAACATTTCCATCATGAGAGATAATTTTGAGTATGTCAAAAATGTAAAATTTTGGTGACCATCAGATCTCCAGGGATATCTGGCTTTAGGAGGCCATATTTATTGTTTAGTGAATGCATTTTCTCTAATTTATTGTCAGCTTTTGAACATTGGTGCACTAACAGAACAAAAGATTGGCAGAATCTGGGCTTTTTCAGCATTACTGAGGAGCACTTGAATGGTACTGAAGTTGGCCTTTGAACATACCAGTGGACAAGTATGAAATCCTCAAAATGTGCCTGGTGGCCTAGAGTCCCACAGAGTCTCACAGTGTGCTCCTCCAGCTTTTCTAGAGAAGAAACAGCAGACAAGCCTATTCCTTCAACCTGTGTGTTGTAGTGAATCTTAGTTTTTAAAGGCACATCATTTTATTAAACAATTTAGGAACCAATAAAGCACAAGACATTTGAAAAGATGGGTCTTCATACAGGCATAATACCTGATAAGGCACTTTCCTCCTCTGAGTTTGAGTTTGTTTGCTGACTATCTTCCATTTTATCACAGTGAACTGTAAAGAAAAAGATGCAAGCTTCATGGAATGTCCAACTTCTGAAATACAACAGACTGTACAGACAGCTTATGATTAGGATGGCCTTGGCTCAGTGTTTCTGAAAGGAAACGTACAGCTTTTGTCCTGCCAATTGACAGCCTGTTTGCCCTCAGGGCTGGTCAGGGTGAGATCTGTTAAGCTTTTTTTGGAGCCAGCCCTGATAACTCATTCCTTTAGTCCACTATTTTCAGGTCCATTTTGGAAACGCAGGATTTAACCTCGGGCTTGCAGCTTCCCTCGTCTCCATCTGCCACCAGAACCCTTCTCCACCGCTTACCTGCTCAGACCTGTGTCCCCTCCACAACTGATACTGGTCACTCTCAGAACTGTTGCCCTGAGCTCTCTAGCTTTCCTCTTTGCCTCGGGACCCAGGGCACCAGTAGGGGCTTAACTTTCTGAGTTGGGAAGGCGACGCGGCTGGGGGCTGCTTCTACCTGCTAGTCCTTTTTTATTCCTCCCCAAATGAGAGGAAGATTCGAGCGGGTTTGGCACATCCCCTAACCGGGGCCTGCCATTTGCAGGTTGGGGGCTGACGTGCCCAGGAGGACCCGAACCAAGCAGACCATTTTCACCTGCGTAATAACAGGCTTGGGAGTAGCGAAGCAGCGGCGGCAGCAGCGACTGGAGTAGGAGGAGGAGCGCAGGCAGCGGCCGCGGCGGGGCGGGAGGAAGAGGAGGGGGGAGGAGGAGGAGCTGAAGCGGGAAGAGCGGTAGGCAGCCGCTCCGCGGAGTTGCAGCAGAGGCGGCTGCGGCGGCGGCGCTGAGACACCGCAGCCTGCCGGAGCGCGGAGTCCCTCCGGGGACAGCAGCAGGGAGCGCCCGCGCAGCCACCGCGCCTCGGCCCAGCCAAGCCGCCGTCGCCGCGCTGGGAAAAGCCAGCCATGGCCGCGCCGCCGGATCCGCAGGACGAGCTGCTGCCGCTGGCCTGCCCCGGGTCCCAGTGGCTCAGGGACCGGGGGGAAGGGGAGGATGAAGCGGTGACGCCGAAAGGGGCCACGCCGGCGCCTCAGGCTGGGGAGCCCAGCCCGGGGTTGGGCGCCAGGGCCCGGGAAGCAGCGCCGCGGGAACCGGGCTCGGGCCCCGCCCGGCAGCCGCCCGTTGCCATGGAAACTGCATCCACAGGTAAGGCGGGCGCCACTGCCCGGCAAATGGCGTCGGGGACTCGGGCCCCCCAGTCGGTCCCCTTCTGCGCGGCTCTCCTGGGCACCTGCCTCGCGCTCTCTGCCTTGAGCGACAACCCCACCCCCGCGTCGTTACTGGCGACTGGGAATATTCACGGGCTGGTGGAAAACAACAATGTTGTTTTTCCAAAGGTTCAGAAGAAGTCAAGATGCTTTTGATCCTTCTATTTCATTATCATGATTCTTTCAGATTAAAAAATTTTTCTCATCAGCAAACCGCAGCATCCTGGCTGCTGGCGAGTCTGGGTAGAAGTTTCTCCCTTCTGCCAGGGGGCTTCGAGCTGTAGGGCCGGTTTGACAGGTTGTGGGGATTCGGGGGGCGTGTTGGCGCGCAGCTTACGCGCCGGCGACCGGAGATACTGACAACCCAGCAGCCGCCAGGTCCACGGCCTCTGGACCTGGCTGTGTCCAGGGCAGAGATGTGGCTGTAACTGCCCCTTACCCCTGCCCTCCACGAATCGCCACCACACTTACTCCCCCCACATCCCTTCCCCTCTTCCCCCGCATGAAACAAATCCCAGGGAGTGTGTCCCTATTTCGGAGACACAGCTTTGCAAGAAGGTTGGGTACTGTGGCTTCCCCCTGCCCAGAACCTGCCTTTCGCCGCTGCCCGGATGGCCCCACCTTGCAGGGAGCATTGAAACTTGGAACTCCGAAGTGCGGCCGGCCTGGCTGTCGGTTGGAAGGTTTGGGTGGTGGTGAGTGGATGTGGTATAGTTTATCAGCAGTCTGACCACCCCCTCTCCCGCCCTGGAAATTTCCCTGGGTTTGACCTTTCTTCGCCTGACTCCCTATTCTAAGTCTGAGCGCGCGGGTGTCCAGTGGGAGCTCAGGCCCCTGGCGCATCTTGGTCAGAGGATCCACAAAGCGCGCCTTGAGGCTACCGGCCTGGTTGACGCTGTTTCCAAGGAGAAGGAAAGGGGATGCTGTGTGGTGCTGTTTCCTGAGAAAGATTTGCTATGGTCGAGTGGGAGTTGTGTAGTTTTGGCAATGTAGAGCTAAAAGGCCTGGGGTGGTGGGTGCTCCCAGAGGAGGGGATGTGGGGTGAGACTGGAGTGTGCACTTGGTGGTCGATGTAAGGAAACCTCTTTTCAGCTTCTCTTAAGGGTTATGTGGAACACCTAAGGTCATAGTAATTAACTCTGCCCTGGTACAGAAGATCTGAACTGGGAAAAAGAGGTTTGGAGAATGGGTTGAGTAAAACTATCCTGAAGGGAAGAGAAAAAGTGGAGACCCTATATAAGAAAAAAAGAAAGAA